GGCCATCGTCTCCATGAAGCACTTGTGCCTAATGTTCCCCACCAATGATGGCATCGGCTACGCCAGAGGAAACCAGAGGATAGCCAGAGCTTGCTACCTCAAGCTAACAAGGCCGGCCGAAAGGGAAGGACAGAGGATAGACACCATCACGGCAGTCGTTGCCAAGGACGAGGAAAGGCCGCATGCCGAACCGGCCGAGGAGGTCGAGGAAGTCCCTCTGAATACCTCCCGGCCGGAGCGGGTCCTCAGAATCGGGAAGCAGCTCCCTCAGGACCAACGAGACGCCATCCTCCTCATCCTGCGGTCATACGCCGTTGTCTTCGCGTGGGGCCCGGACGACATGCCAGGCATCAGCCGCCAGGTGATTACTCACCGGCTGACCGTCAATCCGGCCTCCACGCCCGTCAAGCAGAAGCGGCGCTACTTATCCACCGACAGGCGGGACTTCGTCAAAAGAGAGGTCGCCATGCTCCTCTCAATCAAACACATTAAAGAGGTGAAGTACCCGACGTGGCTGGCCAACGTCGTCCTCGCCCAGAAACCGCCAACATTCAGGATGTGTGTTGATTACACTGACCTGAACAAGGCGTGCCCCATGGACCCGTTCCCTCTCCCCAACATTGATCAGTTGGTTGACGAGACGACGAGGTGCGAGTTGATGTCGTTCCTTGACGCTTTCAGAGGGTACCACCAAATCTCCATGCATGAAGATGACGCTGAGAAAACGGCATTCATGACCCCAGAGGGAATCTTTTGTTACCTCGTCATGGCCTTCGGACTCAAAAACTCCGGCGCCACCTATACTAGGATGGTGGCCAAGATCTTCAGAGCAGTCCTCGGCCGGACGATGGAGGCATACGTCGACGACATGATCGTCAAGAGCAGGCAGGCCTCCACCCATTCCGACGACCTCCGGGAAATCTTTGAAATCATGAAGGAGTTCAGGCTCCGCCTCAACCCCAAGAAGTGCGCCTTCGGCGTCCAAGGCGGCAAGTTCCTCGGCTACATGGTAAGCCGGAGAGGCATCGAGATAAACCCGGAGAAGACACAGGCTATCATCAACATGGAGCCGCCCCGCAACGTCAAGGAAGTACAGCGCCTGACGGGGCGCCTGGCGGCCCTGAACCGTTTCCTCTCCAGGTCAGCCGAGAGGGCACTCCCCTTCTTTCAGATCATGCGTAAAGCCAACAGCTTCAAGTGGACGACGGAGTGCCAGGAAGCGTTCGAAGAGTTGAAGAGGTACCTATCGTCCCCGCCCGTGCTCTCCAAGCCCGAAGCCGGCGAAACCCTCTTCTTGTACTTAGGGGTGAGCACGTCGGCCATCAGCTCCGTGCTCATTCGTGAGGACGAAGGGGTGCAGAAGGCCATCTTCTACATCAGCAAGACGCTCAGGGAGGCCGAGCTCAGGTACTCCCCCATTGAGAAGACGGTGCTAGCCATCGTCCACACGGTCAAGAAGCTGGGGCACTACTTCCAAGCCCACGCCGTCCATGTGCTAACCCAGCAGCCTCTCGGCGCACTCATGAGGAGCCCCACCAGCTCCTCAAGGATGGTGAAATGGGCGATCTTCCTCATCCAATTTCAAATTGAGATCAAGCCAAGGCCATCTATCAAAGGGCAAGCCTTGGCCGACTTCGTCACTGAATGCACAGCAAGGGAGACGGCCGTTGCCAACCCCGGGCCGGAGCCGGACGATACATGGATCCTATTCACTGACGGCTCGTCGGCCGCGAAATCATGCGGTGGCGGCGTCGTCCTCATATCCCCTGAAGGATTCAGAGCTTACTACGCCATCCGCTTCAACTTCAGGGTATCCAACAATGAAGCCGAGTATGAGGCCCTCCTCAGCGGTCTCAGACTCGTCGCCGGCCTCAAGGCCAAGCATCTCAAAATCAAGTGCGACTCCAAACTGGTAGTGGGCGAGGTGGAGGGATCGTACGAAGCGAAGGAGGGACGGATGAAGCAGTACAAACAAGCAGCGGAGGAGCTGCTGAAAACGTTCGAGACCCACGAGATCACACAGATCCCAAGGGCCGAGAACGCTGAGGCCGACATCCTCTCCAAACTCAGCTCGGACACCCCGGAACACATCTCTTAGCTAGCCAAGATCGAGGAGTTGAGCATGTCCAGCATCCATGCCAGCCCCGTCTTGTGCGTCCAACAGCGACCGGAGGACTGGATCTCCGACATCGTCACCTTCGTCACGACGGGGGAGCTGCCCCCGGAAGAGGAGAGGGCCAAACTCGCCAAACTCAGGGCCCCGAGCTACACCATTGAAGATGGCAAACTCTACAAACGATCCTATAATGGCACTCTCCTCCGATGCCTACACCGGGATGAGGCCGACGTAGCCATGGAAGAAGTTCATTGTGGCGTTTGCTCCTCGCACCGGGGGCCCTTCAGCATGTCCCGACGTCTCGTCGTCCAGGGCTTCTTCTGGCCTACGATGGCGCGAGACTGTGCGGACCTGGCCAGGAAGTGTACCACGTGCCAGGTGCTCCAGAAGGCCCCTGGTCGGCCAGCCGTCAACTACACCCCCGTCAGCACCGCAATTCCATTCTCTAAATGGGGGATTGACCTGGTCGGCCCCCTGCCCAGAGCCGCCGGGAACAACCGCTACATCATCGTCGCCGTCGACTACTTCACCAAGTGGGTCGAGGCGGAACCCCTGGCCAGCATCACGGGGGCCAGATGCCAAAAATTTGTTTACAAGAACATCATCACACACTTCGGCGTCCCCCAGGAGATTATAGCAGACAACGGCACCCAATTCGAGGCAGCCCCTTTTCAGGAGCTCCTCCAGGAGTTTGGGGTGAAGCATCGTTTCTCCTCCGTTGCCTACCCTCAGGGCAACGGGCAGGTCGAGAACGCCAACAGGACAATCATGGAGGGGCTGAAGAAGAAACTCCAGGCCGCAGGAGGTAGTTGGGTCGACGAGCTCTCCAACATCCTGTGGTGCTACAGAACCACGCCGAGGAGGGCGATAGGTGAAACGCCTTTCGCCCTGTGCTACGGCTTTGAGGCAAAGGCACCCACGGAAGTTGCCATCCCCAGCCGACGGGTGGAACAATACGAGCCTGACGCCAACGAAGAAAACATGAAGATTGACCTGCACCTGGTCAACGAGAGGCGTGAGCAAGCTTACGTCCGAGCAGAGAACTACCAGCGTCAAGTAAAATCATACTATGACGCCAAGGTACGTTCCCGGGAATTTCAGGTGGGGGACTACGTCCTCCGCCGAAGGGAAGCGAGCCAGCCGACAGAGGGTGGCAAGCTAGCATTGAAGTACGAAGGGCCCTACATCATCAGTGTCGTGGTCAAACCCGGCACCTACAAGCTTAAATGCCCGAACGGGTCCAATGTACCACGAACGTGGAATGTACACCATCGGGTGAAATTTTATCAGTAGTCCGAAGGAGGTGCAGACGGCGAAGCCCTCACCCCTTAATGGATTACTGGTTGAACGCCACCCTCGGCCTCGAGCCACTTATGAATAAAATCATGCTCTTGATTTTTTCTTTGGAATTTAAAGTAAAAATATTAGCAGGTGCCCTCATCGGCCACCTTAGAGCGAAGGACTCAGGTATGGCCGACATGGCACCTTGCATTTGCAGCCTACGAGCGACAAGCTCAGGCACTCCATTGTATTTTATATCAGCGAAGGGCTCAGGCCTAGCTGAGAGAGCACATCGTCTCGGCCCCGTAAGCCTAGAAGTGAAACGCTCAGGTATGGCCGACGATGTCCCCAGGACGAGGGGCCCGCAAACGGCCCACGTCTTGAAACGGGAAGCTCACTGCGTCGTCCACGCGCCGGATCGTAGGACGACAGGCCTGAAATCATGGCCGAGGTGACAAAATCCCAAAACTCAGGGATGGGCAACGACAGCCGTTGGAAACCGACCAAAAGTCTAGCCCGCATCATAAATAGGCGACGGGACCCACCCTGAGATCACGTACGTTATAAACGAAGTCCGAACCGACCGAAGGACGAGCACACCCTTCGGCCGAAGCCTGAAAGAAAGATACTCCCCTAAAAAAAAGAGGGAAGCCGAGGACCGCGCGCACTTGCCGGCCTCGAGCAATGAAAAAATAAAATCCCCCACAACTCAGGCCAAACTTGGCTAAGTACATATCAGTTGAACACAAGTGTAGTACCACTAACAGGTGACATGGACGATATAGCCACGCGTCCATCACAGACAAGGGGATCGTCAAGGACGAAGCATACTCCTATAAAACCCTAACCAGTGGTTGGGTGACACGCGAGTGGTAACCTTCATCGGCCATAGCTCTTTGAAGCGCCAACACTTAGCATGAAAAAGAATTACAAACCCACGCTCAAAGAACAATCCTGAAGTCGGCCACCGGAAAGCAGGCCCAGGACGAAGCGGGCAGTATTACACCCGCGCGAAAGTCACACACAAGGTTGGCAACCCCTACCGGCCACAAGACTTTTGTTGGCCGTTAAAGGTGCTAAAACCAGGACGATGGTTTGACCTGAAAATCTCCAAGTGAATTCCAACACTTAGAGAACCCTAAGGAAAGCAAATGCAAAGGAAAAGGCAACACACCGGGTACCTTCATCGGCCAAACCGCTTAACTTGGCCGACGACGGTACTACGCAGGGGAAATTACATGGCCTAAAAAATTGGGCAATCCCCTTACCACAGGGGCAGCTCAAGACGAAGCGGTCACTCAAATACCCATAATTGCCCGTATCGGCTTAACCAACGACCGGTGGGGTCTTGTCAACTAATAGAGACAACAAAGGTGGCTGCCCTAGTTGCCAGTGGACTCCAAACACAAATATCGAAGGTACGGCCGACAAGGGTACCAGGCAGAGAGAACTACAACTCCCAAACACCCAGACGAAATGGGCACCCAAAACAATTGAGGGCACCCTCTTCGGCCAAGGCGTCCATATCGGCCAACTACTTGGAAGATTTTTCTAAAGCAATGACTGACTTAATACTTAGGAAAATTGTACAATTCTAAGTATTCTGGCAACAAGGCAAGCAAACACCCACACGAGGACGTCGTACAAACACGGCAAAGAAAGAACGCGAAAACAGTAAAGTTTGAATGAAGCATTTCTTTTCATTCATTAGATTGGGAAGTACAAGGAGGGCTTCTAGGCCGTTACATAGTACAAAGTCAAAAAAAAACTACAAGGAATCAGGACTCTGGAGGGGCTTCAGAGTCCTTCTCGGCCTCGACTCCCTCTTCGGCCGGGGCAACAGACGTACCAGCAGCGACACCCGACGTCGCAGTATCCTCAAACATGCTCCGCTCATACGCCCAGTCGTCGCTGATGCGTGAGCTCTCGATGGGGAGCTGCCGTTCAGCCACCGGAAGCTCCAACTCTGCTTCAGGATGCCTCATTAACGAAGGCAGCTCAAGGCCGACGGCCCACTCCTTGGTCACACCCATATCCAGGAAACGCCGTTGAAGCCTCCTATACAACAGCCGTTGCATCCGGTATTGGCCAAGGTCGTAGAAGATTTTCATCTCCTTCTCCCAGTACGCCTGGCCGTCGGGGGATTGGGTCACCCAGTCAACGAGCCTGGCCGCCACGACCTCAAAGCAAAAAGGAAGCCGGGCCTCGTCCTTCCAGCCGACTTCAAGGAACTTATGCACAACAGCATCATCGGCTTTCTCCTCGGCGGCGCTAAGAGCCAGCTCTGCACTGGCCTTGCCCTTCTCGGCCTCCTCCGCACGCCGGAGGGCCTCGTCGCGAGCACGCTCCACGTCGGCCAAACGCTGGAGGGCCCCTTCCTTCTCAGCGTCCAACTGGTCGGCCTCATCAGCCCTCTTCTTCAGGCTCTCAACCTCAAGACGCAGCCTCTCCAAGCTGCCTAGCGCCTCATCGGCTGAGGCCACCTTTTGCTCGAACTGCCTCAGGCGAGCAATCTCCCTTTCTTGCCTCCTGTTATTTTCCATCAACATGAAGGCACCCTGAAGCAAAAAAGGGGTTAGACGACATTGCAAAAAAAAACGGGGAGAGGAGATTAAGACTTACTTGGACGATGTGGTCCATCCCACCATCGTACATCTTCACATGGCCGAGCTTCTTCAGATAAGCCCGGTCTTCGTCAGGAATGGCTTGAGAAATCACCTCGTGGCCGTCAACAATCTCGTTGAACAGCCCCCCTTTGACAGGGTACTCCACCTCGAGCTTGTAGGTCCCTTTGACCAGCTCTCGGCCGGACCCTTTCTTCCGGGCAGCCGTTACAGTAGCAGGAACAGTGGAGAGAGTGGTGGACGAAGGGCCCGAAGGGTGGTCCACCAAAACATCAGGGTTTGAACCCCCTCCGTCCCCAGAAGGAACAGCCGACGTCCCAACATCACCAGCAGAGGAAGCCCTCTTTGACTTCTTGGGAGGCTTCATTCCCACCTCGGTCAACTTCTTCTGGCCCTCATCGGCCTGCCGTTTTTTCTTCGGCTGTACCGGGGGCTTGGCTGCAGCGGTAGCTCCAGGTTGTTGGGCCTTCAGCTCCTCGGCCGCTTTCAGCTGCGCCCTCTTCATAAATGACATGTGATCCATCACAAAACCTGCATCACAAAAACACTAAGGGTTAGAAAAACGAAATACAAAAGTATGACGACCGGAAGCACATCAGAAAGGACTTACCATCGGCCTCAGCTGGCACCCCCAGATCGGGACCATCAGCCTCCTCATAAGACGTGGTCATCTTCGGCCACAACTCCACATCGTCGTCAAGATCACCATACACAAAATACCGTACAAAGCCGAGGGCGGCCATTTTGTACTCTGTAATATACGTCTTCACACTCCTCGGCCCTCCCTCCAGGAAAGCCTCAACCTGAGCGTCCAGGATGGAGCTCCTCGACGTATCATGAAGATTAAAGCGGCCGGTATGGCCGAAGGAGGGAAACTCTACGCCCCCTTCACCCAAGGACACGAACACAAACTTCCCCTTCCAACCATGGATGGACGTCGGCAGGTTTGTGAAACTCCTCTTCTTGGGAAGTTGTTGAAGAGTGGCATACGACGCACAGTTCTGATGACTTCCGCGGCCTATCTGATATAGGTTCATGAACAGCGCCGTCGTCGGCCTGAAATCCAATTCAGCACACCACAGGAGGAAGTCGACGATGAGCGAGTAGTTATTCGGCGTCAACAAGGCCAGAGGGAGCCCCACCATATCTAGGTACTCGGTGATAAAGGGATGAAGCGGGAACCTAAGTCCTTTAGCAAAACTCATCGGGTACACTCCGAAGTAGCCCGGGGGTGGATTAAGGACATGGTCCGTCGGCCTGGGGGCCCTAACCCTGCCATACGGCCCCACATACATCTGGGCGACCAGGTATTCACCCGCATTACTCTGCGGCCTGATAACGTAGATGTTCGTCAAATCCAAGTAAGAGAAGGCTGGCCCTCTCTTCGGCCTCCTCACCCTCTTCGGCGGCGCGACGCCCTTCACAGCAGACACAGGCTTTGGGCAGGGAATGGCAGCCGACGTAGACGCCCCATCAGCAGTTCGGGAGACACCTGCGTCCCCACCTCCAGACGATGACTCAGACCCCTCGTCCGCACCGTCCTCCTCGGCCGGCTCCGAGGTCCTGAACGAGCTCAGATTCTCAAGCTCCTCACAAAACTCCTCGACCAGCTCATAATCAAGGGACTGGGCAGAGGGCTCGTCGTCATAGGGATAGTACTCTTCGTTGAAGTTTTTCATCTTAAACACTATTTCGGGTATACTGCAGCCTACTTCAAAATCTAAGGGTGTTCAAGGGCCTAACACTAGATCACTACCCTAGGAAGCAAAACATGCAAAGTACAGAGAGGATTTCGATGAACACTAACCTTGAACACGAAGAACACAAGCTTGGGTCTCTCTAGAAATTTGGCCAGCACTTCGACAACTCAGATTGCAAGTGAGAATTCTCGTCGGATGGAGAGGGGTATTTATAGAACCCCCCACCCAACGGTCACTACACGTGGCACCTTCCCAGTGGCCACATCAACGGCCACCAACGGGAGGCCACCACGTCACCAATGGGCCAAGCCCAACCTACATATCAGGAGCCCGCTGGCAAATTAGGCTCTACGGAACGGAAAAGAAAAAAAACACCCAAAACGACCAGGGGACTCTATGGCCAACAGCATACAACGGTACCCCCGCAGCACCCGTATCGGCCATCCTCGGTCACACCATCCCAAGGAGATGAACGAACGCCCACAACGGCCTATACGCTTGCCGGTTTCACAAACGCCAGCAAAGCGCCCACGACGGCCAAGGCACTCAATGCTTCCACAGCGATAAGGAGATGACAACGGCTAGGAACGTCATGAACGCCCGTAACGGCCACAGAACCAAAGGAACAAAGAACCTGCAGCCATCGGCCTTCGTAACGACCCCTGATGGTAACTCTTTACAAGCGATCTGCGCACAAGGGTTCTCCCACAGGGTTACCTTGGCCAGAAAATCGCCATAAGGGTTGGATTCAGGGGCACCGCGGAGAGGCCGCTTCGGCCTGGGACTCAAGCAACTCCTTCACCCCTATAACTGGATTCAGAGGCACTACGGAGGGGCCGCTTCGACCTGGGACTCAAGCAACTCCTTCACCCCTCACACTCTTCGGCCTAAAGCAGTGGGGGACTGGGGGACTACATCGGCCTCAACAATACACACGGGAAAAATGCAAAGAACACAAATGTAACCACAAAGCATGGCCACATCGTCCATGTATCACAACGGCGCCAAGGCTTTCGTGACTCCATCTCCGGCCAGGTACTTTGGACAACACGGCGCCTCGTTGGCCAAAGGCACATAAACGACCAACAGGCCACCTAAGGCAAGGACATTCATCGTCCTCCGCCAAACAGTTAATCATAATGGGCTCTTCGGCCAAGAACACGAAAGCCAACCAGCGACGGCCAAAAGGAGTGCGCAAGCACCCTCACCGGCCACCCAAATGAAAGGACGTGCATCGTCCTCGAAGCAAGGTTCAACCTCAAACGGCCTTATCGGCCCAAACATAAATCTCAACCATCAACGTCCAAGGGAAAAACGCGCCTTCAACGGCCACCATCGAAGCAGGACACTCATCGTCCCTAAACGAACGCACCAAGGAAACAATGGCCTCCCCGTCCACAGCGAGGAGCAGGTAACGGCCAAAGCACAGAACGGGGTCACCAAAATGGAAACAGCGCCAACGCCGCAACAGCTAACGGCCTAGGAATGCCCGCATCGGCCAAAAGCACCAAAATGCGGGAATCTACTCTCCTTCACTTCGTCTACGTCTCAGCTTAGAGAGTGGGGGACTCCTGATGGAGTATATGGGTCTGAGCCCCAGGATCCACATACTCAGAAGAACAGAAAGAACAAGACACTGAGTGGTGCCCTCGTCGGCCAAGGGACCCCCGTCGGCCGGAAAGGTACCAACTCAGAATATGGTCCTGAAGCCATGGAACCCGGGTGCCCTTGTCAGCCGCGCCCTCGTCGGCCGTGCCCTCGTCGGCCACGAAGACCTCACAGAACCGGATTTTACACTTACTCATTTGTACAGCCCATTAGTGGCTTTGTATTCGGCCCAAGTAGCGGTCCAGTTGTAAATGGGCCTCCCAAGCCCAAGGCTTGGGAGCCCAGCCCATATTTTCTCTATAAATACTCCCCTTGGGAGTAGTTATAGGGGTTACAAATTCATTCTATTGAAGCATATTATTGCACTTCTCTCTCTAGCTCTCACTTCTCTCTAGATATACTCTATCACTCTTAACTCACTAACTTCGCGGTGACATCGATCATTTGCTCTCTTAATTCTAAAACTAGCATTTTCGCCCACTCATGAACTTTTCAATCACTTTCACTTTCTTCCTTCCAAGTTCCAAACATAGAAAAAACAAAACATCAAAATATTATGAAAAAACAAAACATCAAAATATTTCATTCTTATTTATGAACATGATATCCACTTCTTTGATAAATTAATATAATTACCAAAAATTCAGGCAATGAGGTTAACTCCAACAACAAGAGTTGAATTATAACATCTCATCGAAGTAGCAATTCTGACTCGTATAAATCCTTTGTGATAACAACTCTCAATAGTCTCCCTTTCCTAGAGCTTGAAAAGGAGAACATCAATGAGTACTTCAATGTTCAAACATTACTATAACCTGAAAATTAAATAAATAAGTAAATAAATGAAACAGGGGAATTAATGAAAAACAAGAGCATAGCTAATTTTGAAATATAATTTATTCTAATACTACTACATTCATTTACTGAGGGATTACCACTCACACTCCTAGTATTTTCTAGCACTGTGCTGGTACGATTGGGCAGTGATGGAGTATATGGCCCAGGGACCCCGGCCCATAGACTCCTACTATCCTGATAAAAGCCCAAGAGACTCAGGAAGCACAGCATGCCCAAATCGCAGTGCCCCGGGTACCAAGAAACCCATGGAGCACACAGGGGTGCCTTAGGCCCCCTGGACGAAGGCTCCAAATTCTCACAGAAAGGCTATTTTTAGCATACAAAGCTACTGGGAGAAAATGGCGAAAATCAGTAGCCCTCGGCACCTGGAGCCCTCAGCCTTAAGAGGCCTTCGACAAGAAGAGCCCTCGGCTAATCATCTACAGCCGAGGGTACCTTCTTCGACAAGAATATCCTCTCCACATGTGCTTGGAACGCCGTACCAAGTACAACGTCACATCCAACCACCGCATTAAATGTGGCCACATGCGAATGCCAGTGACACCCGGTTGATGTGACCCCCCGGCCGTTGGATGCTTGACATGTGTCCCCGTCTCGCATTTATTGTTACTATAAATAGCACCCCATTTCCCTTTGTAAACCATATTCTGAATACACTGAATTCACACTGAATACATATTCTCTCTCTTACTTGTTTGCTCTGACTTCTCTCTAGTTACTCCCGGCAGTAACCCCTCGGATATATACCCCCGGGTACACTTATCCATCATTTGATGCTCTCGTTGAGAGATCGAACAATCAAGTAAGAAACCCTCCCCCTCGTCAAACACAAAACGCCCACCAAAATGGTGAGAACAACGCGTGCCAACTCCAAGAATGTTGAGGACAGGAACCTGGCAATGAGGACCCCACTCGTGGACACCTCCACTTGTGCCCTTAGTGAGCGTAGACACGCGAGTAACGTCCCCGATGTACTCTTCCTGCTCAGTGCATCGGCTACTACATTGGCCTTCCCGGGATGATAGTCGATGATCAAGTCATAGTCCTTGATCAACTCCATCCATCTCCTTTGTCTCATATTCAACTCTTTTTGAGTGAATACATACTTCAAGCTTTTATGATCGGTGAAAATGTGACACGTCTCCCCATAGAGATAACGCCGCCAAATCTTCAGTGCAAACACTACCGCTCCCAACTCTAGATCGTGGGTAGGGTAGTTTGCCTCGTGTTTCTTCAATTGCCATGAAGCATAGGCAATCACCCGACCGTTTTGCATTAGAACACATCCAAGCCCTTGGATGCTAGCGTCACTGTATATGTCATACCCTATCCCTTGTGTGGGTAGAGCGAGGACTGGTGCTTCTGTAAGCCGTTTCTTTAGTTCGAGAAACCCTTTCTCACAATTGTCGTCCCATATGAACTTGGCCCCTTTCTTTGTGAGCTTTGTCAATGGAGACGCCAATACAGAAAATTTTTCAACAAACTTACGATAATATCCTGCTAAGCCGAGGAAACTACGTATTTCTTTCACGTTTTTGGGTCTCTCCCAATTCATAATGGCTTCTATCTTGGCTTTATCCACCGCAATGCCCGAACCTGACACGACATGCCCGAGGAACCCGATCTCTTTGAGCCAAAACTCGCATTTAGAGAACTTGGCAAAGAGTTGTTTTTCCCTTAGCCGTTCAAGTACAAGTCTCGAATGATCTTCATGCTCCTCCTCACTCTTGGAGTATATCAAAATATCGTCAATGAATACTATCACGAATTGATCTAAGTATTCACTGAACACACGGTTCATCATGTCCATGAATGCCGCCGGTGCGTTGGTTAGACCAAATGACATCACCAAAAACTCGTAGTGACCATACCTAGTACGAAATGCACTCTTTGGTATGTCACTCTCCTTGATCTTCAACTGATGATACCCCGACCTCAAATCGACCTTTGAGAATACCATTGCCCCTCGAAGTTGATCAAACAAGTCATCAATCCTCGGTAAAGGATATCTGTTATTAATTGTGACCTTGTTCAACTGTCGATAGTCTATACACATTCTTAGTGTACCATCTTTCTTCTTTACGAAGAGTACGGGTGCTCCCCACGGTGAATGACTTGGTCTAATGAACCCGTTGTCCAATAGCTCTTGAAGTTGAACCTTCAACTCTTGAAGCTCGGCCGGTGCCATTCGATAAGGAGGAATCGAAATGGGTTTGGTTCCCGGCTCAACTTCAATCACGAATTCGATCTCTCTATCGGGTGGAAGCCCCGGTAAGTCCTTTGGAAAAACGTCCGGATAATTGCACACGACGCGTACATCATTGATGTCAACTTCTTTCTTTGTGTCGTCCACCACATACGCGAGGTATGCGTGGCATCCCTTCTTTATCATCTTCCGTGCCCTCACCACGGATATGATACAAGCTTGAGATTTTCCACGATCTCCCTCAAAGCGTAACGGGTTTCCTTCATCATCTTCAAGCTCTAGTATTTTGGTGTAACAATCTATTCGGGCACGGTGCTTCTCGAGCCAATCCATCCCTATGATTGCATCGAACTCCAACATACCTAGAGGTATGAAATCACAAGTCAAAAGTTGACCCGTCACTTCCACCTCGCATGATGGATAGTAATGATTCCTCTCCATGTCATCTCCCAATGGTGTGGAGACTAACAAAGTTTGCGTCATTGGTGTCAATGGCACGTCAAGACCTTCGGCGAACGCCTCACTCACAAATGAGCGTTGTGCCCCGGTATCGATGAGGATCCTCGCACTCCTACCGTTGACCTTTAATGTCCCTACATTTATTCACCATGTAAGATACACCTTCAAATGTTTTGGGGGCCCTTTTTAGAGGTTATTAGGTTTACATTAATATTTGGAATCAAACGGGGGTCCGATCGTAGAAGAACGGAGCGAAAAATCGTTTTTCGGGCGACGGGGGTCTACGCACGATCGTGCATGGGGCACACACGGTCGTGCGTGCGTGAAATACTCGGATCCAGCCACTGCCGACTATGCACGATCGTGCGTACCCGGACACGCACGATCGTGCGTCCACGCACGACGTGCGTACCGGCGCGCGCGGTCGTGCGTTTTGGGCGAAACTGACCCCGGAGTCACTGCCCCCTACACACGATCGTGTGTAGGGTTGCACGCACGATCGTGCGTCCCTTGTTTCAGCCGGTTTAAGCCTGATCCCCCCCGGTTTGACCCCGGGGCGGCCCGCACTCAATCCCTACGACTTATATGTTCAAAAAAATGCTTGGAACACAGAAAATAAGTGTATTACCTGCGACGGAGTCTGGGTTAGCTCGAGCATCTGCTTCCGTCATCGCATAAACTCTAGCTTGAGTTCTTCCTTGATTCACGGACGGCGCATTGCTCGTGCTCGCTCCCCCTGGCCCACACTGGCATGAGATGCTCCGGCCCGGTTCCTACTTGCCGTGGTAGCGCCGCTTGGTCCTGACCCCCGGTTCCCACCAAGTTGAGGGCAGTTTGGCTTAATATGCCCTGTACTCCCGCATTGGTAGCACCGTGGTGGATCACGACACTTACCGGCGTGGTTCCTGTTGCAATTCCTGCACCTGGGCGTCGTTGGGGCTTGTGAGCCCGAGTAGTGCCCGCTCGTGGCCGGGTTTCCCTTGGATGGTGCTGCCGGTGCCCTGAACGATCCACCTCCCCCATGGTTCCCCTTCTTGTTGGGACCTTGGGGGCCATGGCTTTCCCAGTTTCTTTTCTTAGCCTCTTCGGCATCTCTCTTCTTCCTCTCCTCCCATTGCTTTTCTCCTTTCAACCCTTGGGCGACCACTTGGCTGAAAGTCATGTTGGGCAATTGAGTTGCCCTGTCGCGTATCTCCAAGTCCAAGGCCTCCCAAAAATGATTCACCATTCGGTTTTCATCACAAGCATACTCCGGTATGTGATCGGCAAGGTCTCTGAACTTGTTCTCAAGTTCTTTCACCGTCATGTTACCACCTTGGGTTAGGAGAGTGTATTCCCTCACCTTGGCGTTTACTTCGAAGTCGGAGTAGTACTGGGCAAAGAATTCTTGTCGAAAATCCTCCCATGTAACAGTTCCGCCATACTTACCCTTGGTTCCATCCCACCATTTGGATGCCAACCCTTCGAGTAACCTTACCGCGATTCTCAGTTTAAAATCGGGGGTGAGCTGCATGTCAAGGACTGCCTCGTTCAGCCTCTTGATCCACTGTGCGGCAACCGAGATGTCTCCCGTCCCATCGAACGGTTTGCACCCTAAGTCCCTCGCCTCTTTGATGTATTTGGAGATCCTTATGGCTGGACCTCCATCGCCCCGACTTCCATGCGCTTCCACATGGGTTCTCGAATCGCAATAGCTCCTCCCTCTTGAAGCCCCGCCCGAAGGTTGCCCTGCACGGTGCCTTCGGCGTGCCCTCCTTTCTTCGCGCTCCCGATGATACTGTTGGAGCAGCGCTTCGATCCTGGCCAAGGAGCCACTTTCCTCCTCATCACTCACATCATCATCATTCCCTTCGTAAGGGGTCTCAACTGGCTCAGTCCCCGGCTGGTAGGTTGAGTCCTCATAGGACCAATAGGTCTCACTCTTGGTATCAACGTGGCCATCACTCACGGTTTGACGTTGGCCTCCACGGCCCCTTCCTCTTGATCCCCTAGAGGACCCCCGGCTACCGCACTCGGACCCACCCGGTGCACGGCCCAACAGGTTCCTTCTAGTGATCCTTCCAACTGGTTCCATTTCTGAAAGAAATTAGAATGAGTCATTAGACTCGTATCGAATGTCAAATGACGGACGGGTACTTAAAGACATCCTTCGGCTCAAATCACCGCCATACCAATTGTTAAGGGTACCATCTTAACAATTAGAGGCATTGCAACTCAAGTACCAAAAGTTCTATAAGTACAAAACAGCGGAAACAACATTACAAGTGTTCAAGCCACACTTGGCAAACATGGGTATACAAACCCCCGAAATGTATATTCAGAAAATAATATCCATGAGCATTATTCATATTGTTTTCAAAACAAGAACGGAAAAAGCACGAACCAAGTCTTCTTCTCAGAAACTTCCCGAAACAGCGGCTGGTAGTAGCAACCTTCAAGTTCTACCTGAAACTGTGAGGTGGCCTCCCCCGTGAAAGGGAGGTCAGTACTTGGAAGCATTTGACAAGTACAATGACAACTATACTAAGTATAATCGAAGTTTAAATCTCTGAGGCCCTCAATCTAGAGCATTATTACATTATAGTTAATCCGTTCATTTAGTATCAATTCATCATTATTTACTACGGTCTAGAGCCCAGCTCATAATCACCGTTATCTACTACGGTCTAAAGCCCCGCTCATAATCACCGTCCTCTACCACGGTCTAGAGCCCAGCTCATAATCACCGTCATCTACTACGGTCTAGAGCCCAGACCATAATCACCGTTATCTACATCGGTCTCGAGCCCGGCTCAAAATCACCGATTCTTTATAATTCAAATTCTTAGGATCTAATTCATCCATTTCTCAACTAACATTTCCAACTAATATTTCAATGCTAGTTATTTATTTATTTCAATATAATTCTTCCTTCAAGCATGATTGGCCTTAATATCAAGTATCACTTTTATACCTTCATGGCTTCTCCTCATGGTATCAAAGTACACTATCTCAAATGAAATTCATGGTTGGTACAACCATCATACACTCATATTCATAACATCTAAACATACACAATTTATTCATAAATTTTGTATATCATGCATACTAAACTTATAATCAATAGTAGTTTTATTTAGGCATTATTAACCATTAACAACCCATGCACATCACATTTGTATTCACTTAGGGAATCCCATGAAATTAACCCAAAGATTATAAGCAATATAGTCGGTCATCCTCACCTTAATTAAGCTTAAGCGCGTTCTATGCTTCTCGATTGAACTTTGACTAATTTCGGCGAACTTTGACCAACTCCGACGAACTTTGACCAACTCCGGCGAACTTTGACCAATTCCGACGAAACTCCGGAGAAGCTCAAAAATACTTTAAATCAAGTTCCTAACAAGGTTTTATCATCACAAAACCCATATCAACACAAATAACCTATAAAAGGTTATTTTCCGGCAAACCGGTCGATTTGGCTCCTAAGTCCGTTCTTGGACATAGAACCACTTTCCAACTCATAAATCCATACTTAGAGCATGGAGAACCATTCCAAGGGTTCTTCATATAATAAATATTCATTATGGTAGAAGGAGAATAAAGGGAAAGCTATGGCAAGGTGATTACCTCAATTTTCCACACTTTCCTACACCTTTTTCCTTCTCCAAACACTCCTCCTTGGATCCTCCACCTTGAGCTCGAATTTGGGTGTGAAAATGGTGAATTTCAGAGCTCCTCCTTGCTATCCTTGGGTGTTGCCACGAGTGGGTGGAGGTGGTGAGGTGAGAGGGGTGGTTTTTGTCTCATTTAGACAAATGAGTGAAGGGATGGGGTATACTAAGTGTCAAGGGTGTCTCCCCCATCCTATCAATTGTTATTCAGCCAACTTAGCACCCATCCAGCCCCCAAAGATTGACAAATTCGTGGGGTGGCCCCCACCCTTGTGGGAGGTCATCCTAATTTGTCCCAAAGTGTAGAATTTGCCCCGAAAGTTGTATTTTCCGGACTGTTTTAGATATATTTTATTTTATCGGGTTAAATAAATATATTACGTGTTCTTAATCATTATAACATTTAGAATGAATATGCATTCCCCCACTTTAATTTATAAGTCTCCAAAATCCAATTTCGGGCTTTTATCTGATAAATTTATCGATACCGGTATTTGAGCCTCTATTGACCAATCGGTCAACTCTGGGCCTTTCCATGACCCAAATGAAGTATCCACCATCTATAAATATTTTCTAGACCCAGACGAATATAATATGTGGTCTCGATAATATCGGGCGGTCCCCACTCCCGATGTGGGCCCCACGTGCATTTTACTATTCACGCGAAAAAAATTAATACAAATTCACAACCTCGTAAATTCACTAAAAATTCCATAGGATTCAATAAATTATTAGCTTAAAGATAAATACATTTGGGGAAGGTGTTACATTAAACGGTAGCCCTCTCCCACAAAAATAGGATCGCAAAATAGCATCCTCATTCTCGATCGATTTCCGTCGATCAATTCCCAGGGCACATTGAATCAATTCAGGCCACGCTTCTTCTTCACTAGCTGCATCTGTATCCAGCCTCATCGATCGACACATATAGCATCCCAGACGAGCAATTCACACAGAGGGATTCATCAGGCTGTTGTCGACATCTTCATCAACTGTTTGTTGCTCTGCTTGCCATCAATTGTAGGACCACCACACGTGCAAGCCCTTGCTGCGCACACAGCCCTAGTTCGATTTCCAGAAGCTATTCATCCAGGTATTTTGCATTTTCCCCCTTGTCTGGATTGAATATATGTCCGAAATAAAACTAGATATGTTCTTTTTGATCTTATTGTAATTGGTGTATGGATGTTCAAGGTGTATTTAGTGCTGTTTTGATTTTTGAATTTTCTAAAAATGTTTTGAAAGGGAAAAGTTTCAAATAAGCCCTCGAACTTTCATAAAAAGTGTAAATAAGCCCTTTTACAGGAGGCTTTGTCCGGCTTTCGCCATTTGAGGCGGTTTCCGGTGGAATTTTTTGATGAAATTTTTTGAGCATATTTTTCATTAAGTCTAGTTTACCCATATCATATTTCAGCTAAAAATTCAATCGAGAAGGCAGTCAAATGATTTTCTGAAATATATTGCGTTGTCTAACTGCGCAGTTATCTTCAAAAATTCATTTGACTGCCTTCCTAAATGAATGTTTAACTGATATTTGGTATGAATAAACTAGTCTTAATGAAGAAGAAACTCACAAAGTTTCATCAAAAATATCCATCGAAAACCGCCCCAAATGGCAACAGCCGGACAGAGCCTCCTATAAAAGGGCTTATTTGCACTTTTTATGAAAGTTCGAGGGCTTATTTGATAGTTCTCTCGTTTTTAAACGAACTCACTTGATGCCAACTACGGAAGCAGCTTTAAAATTTTCAGATTTTTACATTAGATAATCACATCAAATTGTTACAATAAACATGATTGTCAAATATTATATTTTATTAAATAATTGAAAGCGTTGATGTAGAAGCTCGCCGGTGAGAAGCTATTATATGAGATTAGGCCATGTTTGGTAACCAGTTGTTAATTGTTAGCTAGTTCTGATGGGTGTATCAACACTTGATTGTGTCAGCTGTTAGTTGGTTGGTCATTTTAGCTTATTGTAAGCAATCATTTGTTTAAGAATAATTGTTAGGTTATGAGGACATTAATACAAAAGCAACACTGATGATGATAAAAACAATAATCTAGAAATAAATGGTAGACTAAATAGATAAGAAATGTAATTGGTATGCAAGAATTTGCAATGCAGTTAGTCTGGTTTACGAGTGCAAAAGAGGCTAAATATACACACTAGTGGATGCATAGTAACTTTCAAATGCAATTTTCGGAAGATTTGCATCAAAAATCAAAGCAACTGTGGAATACTAACTCAATAAAGAAGATCCAAAATTCAATGATAACACCCCATAATAAAACTCATTTCAGTCAACAAAGTAACTCAAAGGCGGGCTGTTTGTTCTGCTGATCAACTGAATAAACAAAAAGAATGTTATTGTGCTACCAAAGAGGCATATATTAGAGTATGGTTCATATTCTGCAATTTATGTGCTATGTGTGTATGGTTCATATTCTGGATTTTTTTCTTCTCTCAGTTTGAAAGTTTATTTGAATTATCTACACATACTATTTGATTATTTATAGAAATTTATAAGTTCTGATTTCTGAACATAGCCGGTGTTTAAAACATACTACATTTATTTTGGCCGAATTAGTGATTAGTTGCGATTGATTTATATGCACAACATGACAAATTGATTTATATGCGTACTTCTTGGCCTATTCATCTAGTTAGCCACGAATCCACTAGAATCATTGCTTAAAGCCTGTTTAAATATTTTCGTGAGTAAAATTTGCCTAATTTTTTTCCCGAGAGTAAAAGTCTGTTTAAATATTGACATTTAATATGCATTAAAGTCCATTTCTGCAAATATTTAAAAACAAACCATTATTGTTTTTTTTTTCAAATTGTGCCTAATATAAACTGTTTTATATATATATAATGTAATGACATTCAATAGTCAATATCGGTTCCAAAAGGACACTTATTTATGTAGTTAATGACATTCATTAAATTTAATTAGTTTCTAATGAATTTAAAATTCAAACATTTTGATCGTATCTTTAAGCGAGCGATAGACATTGGAATGGGGTATCCAAAATACGGTCATTCTTGAAAAAAGCCTCCCATTGTGGTGTTATATAGCCATATTAAAGCCTAATATTGCCAAAATATGGTAGTCTATGAAGCATGGGTACAAAGTTGAAGTACAGTACTCTCGGAATAGACTCAAGTAGTGGTCGAAGTGGTTATCCTGGGCGAAACATTGTTACAATACCAATTACCACGCATCCCTAAAGAGTACTCCTTTCAAGGCCCTATATGAATAAGATCCACCTATATTAGTCAAAGGAGATACCAGATTAACTCATGTTGATGAGGTGACTAAATTAACAACTGAGCCAGATGAAATTCTACAAGAATTGAAACATAATGTGAAAGTGGCTCAAAACCAGAATAGGAGTTACAATCCCATCCAGAAGAAGTAATCGATTCCAGAGTTTCTGCAACGGGAGATTGAGAGATGCTGGTTCACTGGTTCCTGGGAAGATTGGGAGTTGCTTAAGCAACAATTTCCTGAGCTATGAGGACAAGGTGTTTTTAGAAAGAGGGGGTGACGATATGAGCACTGCCTTATTCAACATAAATCTTAATGGGGATTTTTCAAAAGCTTATAAAAGGAGCGGCAGGAAAGTAAATGACCAGAGAAGGAAGCGGAGGCAGAAAATAACGGACTAGAAAAAGGGGAATAGTCTGCAGGTGGAAAGGAAACGAATAAAAGAAAACGGAAGCGGAAAGAGAAAGGACTGGGGAGTTGTTCGGAACTAGGAGAGCGAGATCCTCTCGAAAGATATCATTTTTAGTTTCTGCTATTTCCTTCCTTTATCATTTTTGTTCACATACTGTTATTGGGTTTTATCTTTTCTATCATTTTCAATGGAGCCAAAAACTCACTATTTTTTGGCTTGAGAATATGATGGAATAAAGCAAAGTGACTCACTAAACTGTCTGCGCTTCTTTGTTATGAAGCAACGGTCAGTCCTGTAATTTTCGACGCGATTTTCAATATGAGTCATTCGGAAACAGTCTCTATGTGCTTTAGTACAGGGATAAGACTACGTACATCTGACCCTCACCCCACCGTTGGTGGGAGCCTTTGCGGCACCGGGGTAATGATAATGATGATAATGATGACTGTCATTGAGTTTTATCAATAAAGACAATAATATTAAGTTGGAGTGTGTTGTGACTGTTTGTTGGTGTGAGGCCTTATCAAACTATTAGGGAGACTCTGAGGCAAATAAAAAGCTCTGCCCATGGTTTTTTAAGGACTACTAAATTCAAAGGCAAATAAAAAACTCTGCCAATGAAATCAAAATTGAAATCAAAACTAAGGAACATTCTCAACTCTTCACTTTCAATGAAAGGCCGCAAAATTAAAAAACGAAGAAAATTATAAACCAAAGTCAGGTAGGAACAACAAACATAACTTTAAAATTCAAGGTACAGCTAAGCTTAAAGATCCCAATTTTATTTAGTAATCAAAAGTTTCTGAACCACAGAATTGGTCCAGCTTCTAGTTTCAGGTTACAAGTATAACTTCTAAACTCGAAATATGTACTGAACAGAAATGATTTGAAACAACTATGTTGAAACAATAATCTCTGAGAAAAGGAATTTGGTTCAAATCAAATCATAGAAATCAAATACAAAATTAAAACCATAGAGTAATAGAAACCAAATCTGCATCCAAGAATTTAGTGTTTAAAAAAGTATGCACCTCATATCTAAGGGCCACCAATATCTTATTGATAGAGTGGGGAGTCACCTGGTACATGCAAAGGGTGAAGAGTGAATATATAAACTGTTATCAGTGTTTCGAATTATGGAGGAATAAATGACAGTATCACACATCTCAATTAGATTGTACACCCTTATGCCATTGTTTGTCAGTTTTTGAAGCAACTTAATATATAAGGATGCACCTATCCCTGAGATGTACAGATCAGCAACCCCAGCTTTAGATCAAGGACATACAGGTTGCATAAATTGAAGTTCAATTCTTTAACCCTACTACGGATATTATAACAGCAGATCTCAATATGGAATGGAATTTATTAAATAGAATTGAAAAAAATGAAATCTTTCTGGATATTACTCGGACAG